GCTACAGTGCAGGGCCAGCCCTGGAGAAGGGGGTTCAGGCGCCAGCCCCCTCCGGGGCGCGGGGATCATGGCAATTGGTTCATCTCACCCGGGCACGCGTCCGTGGAGAAGCAGCAGCGCGTTTCAGAGGGGCAGGCGAGGGCCCCGTCCAGGGCAGGACTCGCAGACCCGCAGCGGGGGGTGAGGTCCGGCCTGCATGCACCGAGGATCAGGGCCAGCCCTGGAGAAGGGGGTTCAGGCGCCAGCCCCCTCCGGGGCGCGGGGATCATGGCAATTGGTTCATCTCACCCGGGCACGCGTCCGTGGAGAAGCAGCAGCGCGTTTCAGAGGGGCAGGCGAGGGCCCCGTCCAGGGCAGGACTCGCAGACCCGCAGCGGGGGGTGAGGTCCGGCCTGCATGCACCGAGGATCCTTTTTGGGGTGAAGGTCGGGAGGGCTAGAGACGCTCTGGGCAGCAACTAAAGCTCTTTGCGACAAGGACGGTCTCATTCTAACGTACAGCACCTTGCACAGCGGGGCCTGAATACGAACCGGTGTGGGCAGGGCATTGGCCAGGGACTCAAACCCCCTAGGTCCATCCCCAGCTCTGCCTCACTTCCCCTCTGGGTGCTGCTCTCTCCCCTCCCAGCTTGGGCAGACTGTGAGCTCTTTGGGGCAGACACAAAACGTAGCTGGCTCCAGTGGACGGGGCTGAAAACTCAGCCAATCTCTTGAGGCTAGCGCGATACAAACAAGGACCGGGCCACCCCCACTAGCCACCTCGCGCTCAGCCCTTCTCCCCAGCAGCGGGTCACTTCCTGGGCGTCACGCTTACGAGACAGCATCCTTGGCTTCCCACGGCGGGTTTGCCTCTGGCGGTGGCATTTATTTAGCATGGAAAACACCTCTTGGCTGCCTCTGCACCAGCTGGCCAGTTACACAGTAAGAAACCAACAGCTCTGTCACTTCATTCATAAAACATAAAACATACCTCAAGCCGTTACAACCAAAACATAAAGTGGATTTTTGTTTTTAATTTAAAAGCTCAAAAATAACAAGCCCCATGTTTTTGAAACATGTAATAAACACAAAAGCAATATAGTCTATGATACAATATACACTATACACAGTGATGGGCCGGGGCGAGTCGGCCTTACGGGCAAAAGATTGAAAGGATCAAGATTCAAAAGGGAACGCCGTGTCACTTGGAAACGAGCAGGGAAAATAAATCAGTGGAGAGAAGAAAACCTCTTCAATGCATTATTGGAAAGGAACGTTAGAGGTAAAGGATCGGGCGGGGAGATTATTAAAGGGGAGCAATTAAATAAAAAAGCACTCACGGTACAGTGCTCGTACGTGGGAGGTGGGCGCATAAGGCAACAATTTCCATAGAAAAAAAGGACCTTCCAAAGGGGTTCATATAGAGAGATATTTATAGATATTTATAGATTTTAAATATAAAGTCGGAATGTGCTGCGGAGCGCGGGGCGGCTGGCTATGGAGTGTTTGCCCCCCCACGGCGTTGAAGCTTCAAAGCGCGGAGTGTGGGGGGGGTCAGGAGAACGTTTCTCCGGCCTCCCTGTGCCGTTTCCACGAGGCTGGCACGGCTGTGGTCGTTCAACACCCCCAGCCCGCGGCGC